AAAAGAACTATATATAGAAAATGAAATTTAAGATTTAAGTATTTAATATTTAAGTAATATCATTACGTGTCTTTGTAATGACCGTAGGTCTTACATGAAGCTGGATAGAGAGAAGAGGACTGTGTTGCAGTTGATTGGCTTGAGCTTGAGCTTGAGCCGATTGGAGTTGAGGCCGTTGACTGGATATTGTTTTGCTTATGCTTAGACATCCGGCTGAACAGCGATAGAACACAGGAAAGGTCATAGGAATGCCAAGTGAGAAAGGTGAATGGGGGCTGTAGAGGTCAAAATGATTGATTGATCAGTTAGTGAAGGAGGAAGGAAATCGTATTCAAAAGGGAGGGGTACTGACCATCATGAGGCAAATCATCTTGCGTTGTTGATTTGCCTTGATTCAATGTTGGTTGCCCTGCATACAGGGCAAGAGGCGTTGGTGTTGTGGTGGTTAGTTCCGTTGGTTGGTTTGTTCATGGTGGTTAGCTCAATGGATGGACCGATTGGGATATAAGTGTCCAACCTTGATATCGCCCTGGTGGAATGGCGGTTTATTACGCAAAACTGCCCGCTTTTGTAATTCCAGGCTGCACTCCCCGCAAAATTTGCCCGGTGAACTGCCCTCCGGGGCCACTGCTACACCAAAATGGCTTGGTACAGCACGGGTACTTGCGGGTATTACCCCAAATAAAGGGGGCTTTGGGTTTTTTCTTCCGGGTGGTAAATAGTGGTTTCCATTTCAGTCAGACCAATTGATTCTAAGAAAGCTTGTTTGTTTTAAATTGATTGAATCTGAAAATTTGAGTTAAAAAATCGAAATATTTGAGCTGGATTGAAAGATTGTAAGAAAACTAAAACTTGTTTGTTTTATATTGATTGAATCTCAAAATTTGAGCAAATTGATTGAGTCTAAAAAAATAGAAATATTTGAGTTGGATTGAAATATTGTAAGAAAACTAAAACTTTTTTGTTTTATATTGATTGAATCTCAAAATTTGAGCTAAATTGATTGAGTCTAAAAAACTTGTTCAAGATTCAGTGATTGAGTATCAAAAATGTATTCAAGTTAAATTGATTGAGTAAAAGAAATTTATTTGAGTTGAGTTGATTGTGTCTAAAATGAAACTGAGTCTGAAGCGTGTTAAATTGATGAGGATGAAGATTATTCCTGTTGATAATTTTCCTTGAGGCGTTGTTGCATCATTCTGAGCACCTCCTTGGCAACAGGAGTGTGGCAATTTTCCTCTGACATCATCAAGACCTTCAGCTTGTTGACTTGGACCAAACTAGCTTTGGCCTCTGCATCAGCCTTAGCCATATCCTTTGCCACCTCATTACCTTCTTGAATCACCTTTAGTCGGAGTTCAGCTTGATCATTGCTGAGTTTGATTTGTTCTTGGTGTGTCTTTTCCACCTCTTCAGCTTTTGCATCTTCAACACGCTTACACTTAGTTTTTTTGGTCCCTATTGGTCGAGTTGGGCTAGAGGGATGAGGTGTACTGGGATTGGAGGACTCAGAGGCTGCATTGCTTGAGGGGATGCTAGCAATCGCCATTGCTAACAGACCAGGAGGAGGTTGTGGTACAATCCATTTGGGTGCAGTCAACAGAATCCTTCAAGCTGGTAAGGATTTGAAGTGAGATCAAGGGTTTGCTTTGTTGTAGATCTTGATTGCGAGATCTGGCCAATTGGTCTCAACAGTGCCGCTGGGAGGCTCGTGTTTGATCTGAGCGTAGATTGATGAAAACTTGAGGGTGGCTGTCTTCGAAGAAGCCCATCTAAAAAGTAGAATACAAATAATTAGTTTAATTCATTGGATTCAATCAATATCAAAATTTATCTTTACTTGATTTGAACTGAATTTGTGTCTCACTTCTCAAAAGGTGAGATCACATTGAGATGATTGGTTACTTGTTAAAAGAAGGCCTCACCGCTCTGGTTTGTTCCAAACTTGGGTTGCTGGCTGATGTGGAGCCAAGCCTCGGCTAGCTTCTCCTCTTTGCCAGATGACCAGTTGTTTGATTTCTTCTTTTTTTGATTTGGTTTGATTTTGATTTTCTTGATTTTCTTCTCTTTTTTTTTCAAAAGTATCAATTGATTGTTCTTCAAATGCTTCATTGAATTTGTTCATGATTGTTTGATAAATGAGATGTTCAATTGAGATCAATATTGATATTGTTGAATTGATCGATATCAATGAAAAGTTGAATTGAGATTGATTATTGATGAAAGTCGAAAATGGAACCAAAGACCAATGGATGTGTGTAGAAAGAGTGAAGTCTGCTGGGAGGCTTTGGTAGATTGTGTAGATACTGACTTGGTAGAGGTCCAGTACATTTGCTGGACCTCTACCAAATTATGAGTGAATCCCTAAGTATTGATCTGTACTTTGAGCACGATTGGGGTTTTTTGGGCTTGGTACAGTAATGTTTACCGTACCGAGCCAACCTACCAAGAGGATAGCGGATGCTCTTATTCAACTTCCCTGAGTGGGTGGGAAAAAATGATTGGGATTATGATTTTTCATAAAATGATCTATCAATCCACCCTTGAGCCATAACACCCACACTACACATGTGTAGCAGGCTCAGTGATGAGGTGGTTTTCATGTACAGTCCCCTCCAAGTGGTTTACGTAATCATTCAAGTTCTGCAGTGGCGGGGCCAGGGCCTGTCGCAAACCCGATGATTACAAATCCTAGGCGTGGGGACATGTACATACAGTTCTGCTCAGTTATCATCTCATCAAGATAAGTTATTCATATGTAATACATGCTGTAATTTTTTCAGATTGACAAAAGCATTTGAAAGATTGACTACATACACTGACTCAACGTTTTGGTGTAATCTCATCAACACAACTGCATGTAACACCCTTTCTGATACTAAGCAGTAGCTTCAACAATAATGCTTGAGCAGCTATATAATCACATGTAGTGAATTTTTGGGCCAATTTTGAAGTCAAGAAAGTTACATGTGGTATAACATGTGATTTATTTGTCCTGATGGGCAAAAAACTGAGCAGCCCTGTATGTACATGATAGACAACCGTTTACTTAGTTTGCTGCACATATGTAGTGTGCGTGTTATGGCTGATCAGGTGTGCAGTTTTGGATCCTTTTATGACAAACAGTACTATTGATCATTTTCCTCCTCAAACTTAGGGAAGTTGAATGATGTTCACAATGGACTTCTGGAATGCGGCCAGGAGCTGAGCTACCACCAACTAGTATGTCATGTTGTGGTATGACATGATACATTACAGATTTAGTGGTCTTTTGTTGCTTGTGACAGAGCAATGCTAACAAAAATACACATTTAATGTGATGTTGTGTAACTGGCGCATGGTTGCTAAGATACAGGCCTCCAACATTTGTTATTCAATAGGATGCAGTTGAACTTTTCTCCACCAATTTGGTCTCCCAGGAGGGATTTTGACTCTGGAATGTGGTAATCCATTACAATTTATAACATCTTATTTTTATTACAAAAAAAGGGCAAAAACTTTTCTTTCCCTTGCTTAGCTTGTGTCTAGGTGAGGGAAAGTAGTATAGCGGGAGTTAAGTCTCTGCTGTCAAGGATAGTTCCTTCCTATTTTGGAACTCTCCTCTCTGCGGGACTTGGTATTGGAGGAGGGTCTCATAGGTGTCTTGTGTAGAGACTTCTATGTTGGCTAGATCTCTCCTTTGGTTAGGAGGGGTCTTGGGCCAATACAGTACCTTTTGATCACCTCTGATTAGTGATTGACTGTTGTACAATAAGGTCAACCTGTAGGGCAGGTGGGGGGCACGAAATTAGCTAGCTAAAAGTAGATGAGTTATAATTTACTTGTAAGTAAAACAAATTGTAACTATGGATAAAGTTAGGTGGAAAGCAGGAAAAATCAAGAGAGAAGTAAAAGGAGGTGAAAGATAAGTGGGAAGACGGGAAAAGGGAGCCCTTAGCCTGAGTGAGTGCCTTCTCTACTCTACAGGAAACCTTTCTGTTTTTGTCTAAGCTACCTGTTTCCTTGTATCTCCACGGGATCCATATTGGGATTCATTTCATCTACGTATATCTCCTTTGGTGTATGTATTCTGATGAAGTTACTCTATTAATGGATGAATCTAGTTCAGCGTGCCTCAAGCAAGAGGCTAACTCTGCTAGCTGGTACAAGAGGTGTGCATCAAGTGCAATGAATTTCAGCAATTTGACTGTATACAAAACTCTATCAAGGGGTCTGAAGTTGTGGTGTTTATGTTGTCATATGCTACAACAACTTGCCCATTGTTGTAGATCATGTGTAATTTCTTAAAACTGGAGCATCTTTTGAGGTTCCTGAATTAAACATACATTGGTTTCATGAAGATTTTCTTTGGGGGCAACTTGTCTGAGTTTTTAAAAATTATGTAAAAAATAATCAAACTTGAAACCCCTCTTCATCTGCACTTCAAACAACCAGCTTTGTATCTATTTGGAATGTTTTTTTTTATTTTTGGGTGCACCTCAGAGGCTGGGTGCACCTTTGAAAAGCCAAAAAGCAGTGTCCTGGTGCATTCCAAATCAAAAACCATCCCCTCACATGAATTCTGGAGACTATGAGTATGTATGTTTAATTTCCCTTTGAACCTTGACCAAGATTTTTCAGGCTGTGGCACAATGTTGCAAAATCATGATCCCAATGATAAAATCAGCAAATTTACAGGATCTAGCATGGCGATTGAACTCACACTTATAGGTATGTTGAAGTACAGATAGTACCAGGGGTTTTCTATATAAACATAATTGTGTCAACTGTCCTCAAAAAACATAGGGTTTGATGGAGATAGCATGATTTAATCCCCATTAGGAAGTCCACTTTTCAAATTCAAACATGAAGCAAAGTATTGACAACCCCCAATAGGTTCAATTTGAGACTGAGGTGAAGTGAGCACAAGTAATTGAGAGCCTTTTCCCCCCTCATGAAGTAGCACAGGATTAACATGCCCAACCTACAACTTCCATCTTAATCCTACACTTCAAATATTTACTCAGAAAAAGGCATGAATCCTGAAGTTCTTTGCGGCATATTTCTCACAATACATAGTCACAATGAACACAGGGCTATCCTAACAAAAAGGTACAAAACAACACATAATAATACACACCAAAATCTCACTCATGGAGAAATATGGTTCAGACAAGATTGCACATTGATCATGTGTGAGAAAACTTGGAGCAGGCTGTAAAAAAGATGATGGCTGGGTTAATATGATGTACTTGAGTTTTCCACGCACGACCTAAGCGCCTAACTTAGTTCTGATTGCTTCAATCGACGGCGAGAAGAAATATTCACCACTAAAAATTGGGGTAAAGGGGATATTGTCAATACCTTGTGCAAGGAAAGATATCTACTGGCTGGAAACTCACCCCAAGGTTTTGATGAACTCGGTCGGAGCGGTAATGACGTTGTTTGGATCAGTCTCTCCTGCCATCCCCTGTATATTTGTGCATTGATAGAACAAATTTATTTCTGGTGAGCCTCAAGTTTCAAGAGAGGGGAGATTGAAGAATAAGCTGGTGAACTAACATTAGAAGTAATGTTCTGCGCAGTGCGAGGACCTCCATTGCCGCTTTGTCCAATGAGTAAATCAAAACCCGGAGTCACCTTTGCAGGGTTCTTGATGGGGAAGTCGACATTGTTACTCCAAGACTGGTGTTATGAGCACAAAAGTTGACCATAGGAGTACGCTCCCAAGCGCGACAGGAAGACAGTGCTAAGATCAATCTCAAGCCGACTGGAGCGGGTGACAAATGAAGCCTCGATCCACAGACCTTTTGTACAAACTGGAACCCGTTCTCTATCTTGCTTTGGTAAGATACAAACAAAAGGCCTCGATTGTGTTTTGTTTGCTTTTCCTCAATTTCTTCTTTAGTCAATTCGGGACCTAATCGATACATAGGAGGTTGAGAATCTTACGCGTCTATTACACAATCACCTGCAAAAGATAAGAACAGACATAATCATTCACCGTAGGGTATCCCATTTCTGACCATGAGGTGCGGCAAGACAGCGGTTTCGGGTTCAAACCCGGCAAAGCCTTTTCGAGGATTCGTTTTTCTAGGAAATTTTGAATTGGACAGCCGGCGTAAATTTCAAAAGATAGTTCGATTACAAAAAAAAGGAAAAGAATCACCTAACGTGGGCAGCGTATGGGCAGCGCTGTTGCTCCAGCTCGTCCGCATAATCGAAGTTTTGAGCTCCAATCAGCTTTGAGTTATCCTCAATCGGCGCAAGAGTGAGGGGGGCACCTGATATTTCATACAACTCTATGAGCTTAGCGACTCGAAGGATAGACAAAACACGCAAAGGCATGTAGGAAGACGTGGAACCCATAGCAGGAAAGGTGACTGACCCGATTTCCAGCGTCCAACGACTCTCGCACCAATGAATTCACCAGTGACACCGGGGATCGGGTTCTTCTTCGCAGTCTCATCACAGAACTTTTGAAATTCTGGGACGAGTTGCTGAAGCTCACGTATAGCAAGGAAGGATCCGTCTTTCATCCATGCTGGTGATGTAGTTGATGGGTTGGTTTCATCCGGGTGCCCAACTAAGATCACACTCGGGTTTACAACGCCGGCTTGCTCGTCCGCTTGGGTAGAATTGAAGCCCTTGATTTTCGGAGTCGAGATACCATCCTGAACAAAAAACAAGATGTGAAACACGAAGTGGAGGGAGATAGTAAAACCTAGTTGAACACATACCAGAAAGCCAAAATGCTCATGCCCAGCTTCAGAACCAGGTCGGACATTTCCAGTGCGTGAAAATTGACGAGATATAGAATCTTTAACGATGGTCTTGATTTCGTCGATCTTACGACATAATGACTCCTGGTCCGGAGCAGTAATCAAGATCACAGCGTCTATAGAGTGTTGAAGAAAATCAGGGGACCAGGTCAAGAGCTTTTGACCCTTTGAATCAACAGGGTCGCCGAGATTCGTCACTGCATCAGACTTTTGAGTGGCAATGAAAGCAGCATTGTCACTGGGGATCTCAGTATCACCGACTCCTAATTTCTTTAATCCAGATGCACTGAAGGCAATATTGAACTGAGTGATCGGTAAGATCTTCTTAGGCTGGCCGGGCTTGGTTTGACGTTTGCTCTCATCTATCTTCCGTTGAGTTTCGAGGACTTGTTGAGTGGTGGTGATCAGAGGCAGAAGCTTGTCTTTCAATGTTCGACGGAAGGCTAGTCGAGACTCATTGTCATCCTTCAGTGTCAAAAACAAAAAACATTCGACACGCTTGATGAGTCCAATGACAACGTCGCCCTGCACGTTATTGGCATCGACGATGCTGAGGATATATCAGGGTGAAGATGTCATATTAGCAATCAAATTGAAAGAGATTGGTAGCGAAAGGTGCAGACCTGTTAGAGCTTGGAGTAGATTGGAATACGGTTTGAGAGGACATGTTTGATCAAGTGGTAAAGTAAATGTGGATTGGGACGAAAGGTTATTTTCAACGGAGGGGAGAAAACTACGGGATCAAGAGGAATTGACAGCTTGTTATATAGTGGGAAAGGTAGCCTGATTACCTCTTTTGTGGACAAATCCCCCCGACCAATCAGCGATGCGACAAAGCATTTGAGATGCAGCTCGACAGTGCCTCATCTGGCTTGGCTTACTGTGAGAAGCGATCACTTTACCGTCTTGATCTATAATTCTGCTAAGAAGCTTACATATCTCCACCACCTAAATCCGGCTGTGAACCACAAGCGAGTTGGCTTTCAATGACGCGTCATCAAGACTGCTGTGAGCTGCTGTGCTATGACAAGCCAGCGGAAGGTCGAACTTGACAATTCTGTTCTTTCAGCACACCATTCAGATCGACATGGTTAGATGACAAGGCCAAAGCCTTTTTCATAAAAGACCAAAATTCCATTTTGAGGTTTCTGCCTTGACGGGCTCGTCACAAACTTAACTGTTAGGTCCATTCATAGGGGCTTACAAAGTTTGGGCTCACCACAGCAATTGACGACGTCATGAACAAAGGCCCGACTTCCCGACAGATTTCCACACACAAGGCGAACGGAAAATCTCTCCCTCGCACACAATCCATTTCACCGGTTCTTCTTGCTTAAAGACTCAAACATAAAGGCCGCCAAAATAAAACTCAGCCGGCCAGCGAGTCGTAGACGCTCTCGGGTGGCGTGGTAAGGAAAATTCCGCACCACGCAATCCGAGCCGGCCGCCATCCCGACAACCCTACCCTCGTAGTACATCAAGTACGAAAGGGAGGGCTTGAGTGGTATATGAGAAGTTATATACATAGCACTCCCAAATACTCATGCGCAAGTCCCAGAAACTTGCTCTCATAAAATGGGTCATACATGATCAAGTACATCCGACCGGTTCGACAAAGATGAATGCGATCAAAATTCTGCAATCCTTGTCCAAACAATTTTGCCGCTTTTCACAAGAAGTTTTTGTCTAGGTCACGTAGCATGGAAATGGGAATGTGGAGGTCATTCTTGGCCTGTAGCTCTATGTACTGGCCTCTTCCCTTGACACATTCGGTGATTGATCGAAGTAAAACATGAAGGATATCAATGTCAATCAATGGCGACTTTCAAATCTTAAGTTGAAATATGACTTATATGTACTTGTCAATGAAGATTTTTGAATGGTCAGCGTCTCCCAAAAAGGCTTGATGAAGGTTAGAAGAAAAATTGGTAGTGTTCCTAGCCTGCGACGGTACTCTGAATTCCATTCACGGAAGAGAGAGGAGGTAACAGGGCAGCAGGGAATTCACAGGAGGTTGTTAAGTGTCACACGTAACAACCAGGAATTTGGAAGTTAGGTGGAAAGAAATTTTCCTCCTCTTCCCACTCCCATAATTCCCCCAGCTTGTCCCTGTCACCTCATAAGACTGTTTCGTCGCTTCTAGCTAGAAACCTTTTCTAAAAATTATCTTGATTAAATCCATCGAATCACAAGTCTTATTACTCATTCTTCTGACGAAATACACCCCGTGAATGTGGAGAAAACTCAAACCAAAGAAAACATCAAATATTTTTCATTCGAAGAAGATGACTGAAGCAGCTAGAATAGAAGAGGAAAAGAAGCAAGCACACGCCCTGCGTCTGAAGGAACAAGCGGAGGAAAGGGAGAGGAGAGCAGGTTCTAGAGACCCAGGCTCAAACAACAACTCATCGACAAATCTCACGTCGACAGAGAATACGATTGCGACTCCCAAGAATGTTACAACGTCAAACACTCAAGCATTACCCACTACGACGAGTAACGAGCCTGCAGAAGGAAGCGGAAAGGTCATTAGCAAGGGAGATGATAGGTTGGTGTTCAACATCAGTGATGAAGAAATTGGAGACGGAGAATCGTCGTCAGGAGAAGAAGGAGATGGCAGCAAGACAGAGAAGAAAGAGAAGGCGAAGAAGAAATCAAAAGGAAAAAAGAAGAGAGGAAAGAGCGTAGATTCAGGGGACTTACAACATGAAAATCTTGTAATGAAGAAGAATAAAACTCTGTATGCAGGTTTAATCAACACCCAAACCCCGCCGCAGCGTGGCGGATTTTTGGTCCACGGAGGCAGCGGTGCGATCGACCCCAGTTTTACGGGGACCTCACCGCAGCGCTGCCGCAGTGAGAAAAAATCTCAAGGGGACCGCGGCGCGCTTGAGACCATCGCAGCGCGCCGCAGACTGGGGTTTTATTTCCCTAAATTTGAAAAAATGAGATTAATGCCAAAAAGAAAAAGACCTGCTTGAAAACCCTCAATCTGACAAAGTTGATCGAGAGACGACAACAGAATAGAAAAATGCTATTCATGATAGTAAGCGACCCTCTGTTGACGGTTAAGAACCTTTGACCTTTGTTGACTGATTTTGATGCGAATTTCTATGACCTTTAGCTTGTGTGATACATCGGTTTTTTGATACCAGCAGTACTCAGCTATCTTTCTTTGGACACTTTCAACTCGTATCTGGTTTGGCTCCTGATTCACTCACTGCTTTGTTATGAAATTCACATCTTTCAGTCTTGTATCGGCACCCGGTCATCTCACCTGCGCCACCTGCTCCTCTTCACCCTCCTCTACCGCCTCCACCCGACCAAATGGACCCCAATTACTCCCATGAGACAATGCTGGAGGGTCATGCAATCTCTCAAAGTCTCGCGCAGGCTGAACTAGAGGATCAATCCCTACATACATTCAATAAAGATGAATGTGGAGTACCTAAACTCTTCAGTCTGGTAACGGATATGGTGTTTCTGAATGAGCGCCATATTGTTTGGGAAAGCTTAGAGGATGTTGAGGGTGGTATGAGTGAGTTTTATGATGAGAATCAACTACAAGTCGCCTCAAAGCCCCAGCTTCACGTCAAACAGGTCAACATGCTGCCAGCGGTCCGCCGCGCAGAATTTCTGTCCCACCGCACGACACGACAGAGCCCAATCAGCTCAACAACGAGTGCCTCTTTTACTATAGCCCACACGTCCTGTCGGAGGTTTCAAGTTTGGTATTTTGTACCTTTAGATAACCTCTGTGAAAACACGAGTTGTGACTGTTCATCTGAAGTTTGAACTAACAATTGGACGTGTCAGGGGTTGAATATGTACAGTCTAGGCTATATGAGCCAAACTGGGCCCCTGGGTCCCCCCTGGGGTACCTTCAATGGGGCAGCGGCGGGTTGGACCTCAGTAAAAACTGGGCCCCGGCGCGGTTTTATCCCAGTGAGCGTTCAGTAGACTGAGGACGCGGCGGGACCCCCGCGCTGCCGCAGCGCTGCCCCAGTTTTCCGCGGCGGGGTTTGGGTGTTGGTTTAATCGAACATGATCACAGTAAGTTTTCCACATATTAATTTCTTTAACCATCCTAAGTAGGAAGGATGTCTTTCCAAACAACAGTTGTAGCCTGGTAAGGCTCCTGAATCCAATTTCAATTCCGCACAGGGTTGTAGCCTCACGGGGCTCCCCAACCTCCCCCACACCTCTTCACTCCTTTCCTAGACATCGAGCAACAGTTGTAGCCAGATTAGGCTCCTGAGGGGTTTGACTGGTAGTAGCAATAGATAGCTCCCGATTGAGTCTGTTGAGAAAGACGGAAGAGCAATCCAAATAAAGGAACAAGGTTGTAGCTATTCATGCTCCCAAAGATCCTCTGACGATCAGACCACGTGAAAAGGTCAAAAGTCAAGACAGTATCCCCATCTTATACAGCAGATGTGTCGGATGAATACGCACCGGTTATCCAAATTCTTCTACCTTTTTGAGTGAAGAAGAGACCATGCAAACACATTGAATCGGAAATGCTCCGGATTATCTGTAGTAGCATTTGCCGGAATACTCGCATACATCAGTCCTCTATTTTTCCCATCTCAATAATTTAACATCCGTCAACAACAGATGTAAGAGAGTAGGGTTACTGACATGTACTATTGACCGGTCATTCAGTAGGAACGCCTCCAATAGTGGGGAGCCAACCAACCCAGGAGACTAATGCTCCAACCCTGATCAAAAACGATGTCGACAAAGCTCCCGTCACATCTACTCCAGATGTGCGTCCGGCGGTAGACCGCCTAGCGGACGCGATAAATCAATCCAAAGATCTAGACTTGATAGAAATTCTGAGAAGAGAGATGGTTAGGGAAGAAGAGTTTAAAGCCTTGAAAAAAGAGGTAGAGATGCTGGAGAAAGCCAAAAAGAAGGCAGAGAAAGGAAAGGGGGTGATGAAGAAGAAGAAGAGCGGTAAAGCTGAAGGGAAGAAGGCTAAATCTGATAAGAAAAAGTCGAAGAAGAAACGGAGAAAGACACCTTCATCCTCCTCTAGCTCGAGTAGCTCATCTTCATCCTCTTCTGAAGATTCTTCCTCCTCTTCCGAGTCGGACCGAGACTCCTCAAGCTCTTCCTCGTCAAGTTCTGGTTCTTCAGACTCCGACTCCGCGTCAGATTCAGAAGAAGATGGTTTATTATTGTCGAAAGCCAACGTAGAATTTGAGAAACTTAAGGCACTCTCTGGCATGGATTTACCGGATTTGCCAGAACACTGGGACAAATGTTTCAAAAAGCTTAAGAGATACGTCCCGCTAGCGGTGTTCAAACAATCGTACATTGATGCTTATCATTCGACAGTCGATGACGGACTAGGGAAGAAGAAGAAAGGTTTCAATCTAGCAACCTCAGAGAGAGACCTAGAGAAGCAGTTGACTTACGGGGATTTTATGCTAGCGTGTGACCTAGAGACTCGGTATGCTTCAGAAATTTACGGCCACAAAGCCTATGCGAAATACATCACGAAACACAAAGAAGTCGTTAATCATTTGATGGTCCAACACAAGTGTTGGATGGTAGGCCTGAGGTATCACTTGATCATTAGAGCCATCATATTCAGGAAAAGATCACGGATCTTGTACAGGAAAAAGAAGAATGGAAAGAGAGGAAGGAAAGTAGAGAAAGTTGTGTTACCTGATGGAGTCCAATTAGAAGCAGCAAAGAGAGCAAGGTGGGACGCAGAGACCGCAGGAGACCTAATGTTTGAGGGTAATCCA